ACAGACTTCTGAGACATTAAGTCTAAAAGCCTAATGTGGAAGAAGGAAGTTAGCACATGCTTTATTAATTATAGGTTTAAAACCACTGTTCCCATAAAGTCTACCTGAGAGGAAAGGAAGAAACGGGGGCTTCTTGATGTTGTTCACCCTTATAGCCAGCCCTGGCTGAATGGAATGTTGCAGAACCTTCTGGTGAACCCATTGACATGCTGGTATGTAAAGATGCCTGGTCATGGCAGGGAGACAAAGGGCTCTCTGGCCACAGAAACATCCTGCCCGCTTGTTTTCAGAATGGTTTTTGGGAATAAATGGCTTTTTATCTGCAAAAAGCTGTGGCCATAAGAAGCACACTCACTGGGCATAGTGAGTTCTGCCCTGGAGTGCTGAGAGGATGAAACTCATGCGAAAGTCAACAGCCCTGAGGCCCAGGTGGGGATATGTCTGCGAAGCAGAGAGACTCTATGGACAGCAGTGATCTCTAAAGCACAGGACTGTAGATAACGCACAGCATAGACCGCAAACAGAAAGTGCAAAATGGACAAAAATCAGTCAACGTGACGTTCAAAGACTAGGGAAGAGTACAAGCCTACAGGGCCGGGAGTGAACAGCTTCCCGGAGAGGCAGGTGACATTCAGAGGTCAATGTGTCATCCTCAGGAAGGCAGCCTGTAATGTGGGGGTGGGGATGGGGGTGGAAGCTTTGTTCCCATCTTCTCTGACAGCCCCAACGTGTTACATATATGTGCTGTGGACTACACGAGCCTCTTGCCATAGGCGCGCATCGAACACCTAGAATGTTCTCGAGGAGTGGAGGACATGAAATGTTAAGAGTGCCTTAGTATCTAGTCCTAACCGGCTAGAGCTGGATCTCTGCCTGGCTCTACCTGCTGCATGTGGCACCATGCTCAGCCCAAGGGATATGCATTTGAAATTCAGTATAAACTAAAATTAGCCACGCTCATGAATGGCTCTGGCAGCCCAGGTGTGCAGAAAACAGCTCTGGATTCTTGCTTGGGCTCTAAGGTTCCTCAAACAACGAAGAGGAGATGTATCACAGGACCCAGCTATAGCACTGCTGTATTTATGAACAGATGAACAGGGTTCCAATATCTTGGTGTTTATGAGCAGGACTCGGCATATCACAGAGATTCTTGTACATGGATGTTTACTGCTAATATTTACAATGTATTACATATACATGCATATGTATGCAGATATAGGTATGAAGTCGTCAAAAATTGAATTAATAAAATGTGTAAAATAAAAGTATTTATGTATTTATATACCCACATTCCATGTATACATCTACATATACTAAAGGTTGAAGTCTGCATTTGTTATATTATTTAATTCCCCAATTCATCAAACACTTTCCTTTTCTAGTCCATCCTTCTAGAGCTACTCTGTCTGTTTTAATCCGTAAACCACCTGGAATCTTCTAGAGCAAATCTCTAACTCTTTCAGGGGGGTTAGACCAGGAAGCGCTAAGCACCACAGCATCTGAATCTCCTGCAATCGACAGGAGGGACTTGATAAACATCCACTTAATGCGATTTGGCCTTTCATCACCCCAGTGCGTAAGCGCTCCTCCCTGGAATGACAGCCGGTAAGGCCTCTGGAGTGTCTCGATTACCATCGCTTCCCCAGGAGAGGGGGGATTTGCTATGAGAGCAAGGGTCATGCATCAGTTCTGACGCTGTCAAAGCTGTCATGGCTGTCTCCGTTCAGGCTGCTGGATGCTGACAGGGCACAGCCGCGGCTAGCAGCTCTCCTGTAGGGGACCTGGGGGTGGGCTAGCTGTATAGATCATACAGACGGGAAGTGCGAAGGTGTCAGCTGGGGTTGCTTATTAACACAGGGCAGCGTCACAAGGCAGAAATCAAAACCGATGAAACGCAAGTCTGGGGAATGTGATGAGGGCATCCGTATCGGGTGCATCTGACCCTCGAGGGGTCAGAATCGCTCCTTAGGAGTACATTGGCCCTTCCTTGGTCATACTGATTTTTTTTTTCTTATCTGTCCCAGAAATATGTACATCTGCAGGTGCTGTCTTGGCTCCTATTTGCCAGGACTTTCCCTAGTAGCATCCGTTCTCTGTGTCCCTCCCCAGCCTACAGTGCTGCCCACAGCCGCCAGCCTAAATCTTCAACGGTTCAATCCTCTACTATTCCCAATCACAGGAAGAAAACAGAACCCTAATCTCTCTCCCTAAAGACCAATAGAACTTCTGCGCCTTGGATTTTACCCATAAATGTCTCCTCTACCACTGTCCACACCTCCTCCTCAATCTGTGATTTGTGGTTATAATTGCAGCCAGTTCTTAGCCAATGAAACCAAACGTTCCCCCTTTATTGTTCTGAGCAGAATGAATGCAACCCTAGCTGCAACTTTTACCCTGCTTCATTCCAGAGGGAACCATGACTGACTATGCCTCTGAATTTAGGCAGGAAGAGACCCTTGTACACTACCTTAGTAAAACGAGCATCTGCTAATGATGACATTACTAGGAATTTGGGACATAAGATGGGCAAGCTCTTTCTATTGTCTTCCCTGACACGCTAAAGCCAGTCATCCATCACAGCCAACAAAGAGAACCAGAGGCTGCTGGGACTTAGCAAGAGTGCCAGGCTCTTATAAATAATATATAATGCGACTGCACTACAGCCTTCGCCATATGGTGTGGAGTGGCCTTGTCAATTGGTTTTAGGCTGAGGAGGATTTTTTTTTTTGATTCAGCAAAAAGCAGCGAGTGGGCATATTTTATACCAACACAAGTATAATTATTTGGCATCACTTCGGTGATGCATGTGAGGTTAACACACAGGCCTGAGGTTCTCATTGATCTCTGATCATTAAAGGATCATTGCTCATAATGAGCACAGTCATTGTTGGGAGGGGAAATGGATACACTCGAGCCATCTACAGGAGTGTGACAGGACTGCCATTTTCTCCTCATTTGTTTACGTTTTCCCTCAAATCTAAACTTATTTTCAGCAGCAAGGAACAATTTCTCAATGATTGGCAGAGGCCCACTTCAAAGTCATCCTGACTTGGATTTTCCTAAAGTCCTAATTAGAAGATCAGGCTTAATGAGGTTTTGAATTATACTAATGAACCCAGAAATGGTCTTTGGTGCTAACATCATCTTAAAGAAGCTCTCTGAAGTTGTCCTTCGGAGGGTTTGTGTTGGCCTTGGAGCTAAATGGGGCCCCTAGCAGAACGGCAAGCGAGAAGAGGTGACTTTTCTCCACCTACTCAGACTAACAAAGGTTTTCAATAAATAGAAGGCCAGAGTGGAGATCTATGCTGCTGTCACCCGAATGCTCATTATTTTTTCTGAAACTAATGAAGCATAAGAAGTCTGGTCAACTGTTGGGTGGCGGCGGTGCACACCTTTAATCCCAGAGCTCAGGAGGCAGAGGCAGGCAAATCTCTATGAGTTTGAGGCCAGCCTGGTCTACAGAGCAAGTTCCAGGACCACCAAAGCTGTTACATAGAGAAAACCAGTTTTGAAAAAAAACAGCTCCCCCGCCCCCCCACACACAAAAAGAAGGGCCAACTGCTTTAAGTTAGATAAGGAAGGTGAAGTAAATGATTTCATTTTCTAAGTCTGAAATTCTGCCTCCTCTAACCACTAGCTCAAGAGTCAGGGCTAAGCCTACTCGGCCTGTAAACCAGGGATGAATTAAAGGTTTCTTCTTGAGATAGAATGCCTGGCCTGGCACCGCCCACCTACCAACTATTTTTAAGGTAATTTTATTTTGAGTGCCACACAACTAGTATTGGCCTCCTCGCATCTCATCTCACGCCACCCCATCCTTCTAGAAGAAGAGCTTGCCACAAAGAAAACGCCTTGGACGTGCTGTGCCGCTGTGGCAGTGCTCTGGCCAGAGTTTTCTGTGACTCCGTAGTGAGTTGATAACACTTTATCAAGGCTCTTATTGCATGGTTTCAATTAATTCATCTTACAGATAGTAAACTTAGAACAAACAGGGAATTTCATTCATGTCTGTAATATATTATGATCACAACCATTCTCTGATTTCCCCCCTCCAACTTTGTGTGGATCCCTCCAATAAATCCCTCTACCAACTTTACACCTGGTGTGGGAAGTCCTTCTGTATATGTGTTGCTTGTATTGGCTAATAAATAAAGAAGCTGCTTAGGCCTATGGGCAGGGCAGGACAGAACAAGGTCCAGATTCCAAGTAGAAATAGAGGAGAAAAGAAGGCGGAGTCAGAGAGACACCACATAGCTGCTGAAGGAGACAAACTCGGGAACTTTACTTGGTAAGCCACAGCCTTGTGACCATACACAGAATAATAGAAATGGGTTAACTTAAGATGTAAGAGTTAGTTAATAAGAAACCTGAGCTAATAGGCCAAGCAGTATTTTAATTAATACAGTTTCTGTGTGATTATTTCGGGTCTGGGTGGCCGCGAAATGACAAGTACCCTCCACCTACACATACCCCCTTTAAAAACATACCATTGAGTTGCATTAGTGCTCCCTGCACACATGGGTTTGGGGGCCATCCACTGGAATATGGGTAACCCTACAGTGGTCACAGTCTTAGAGAAAAATGACTCTCCTTCCCCAAGTCACCATCAACTGCTAGTATCTCCTCAGTCAGGGGAGGAGTGGGGCCTTGGGAGCAACTCCCACACCCATGCAACTGAATAGTTTTTAACACTTCTAGACTATTTTACAAGGAGGACTGCCCATGGTTCTCAGCTTCGGCAACTTCAATTACATGTATCTTCTCTGTTAGTGTTTATTATTTGTGATCCATCCCATCGACATTCACTCCCAATCTTAGTTTACCTTCCCTGCCAGGAAATGAGCATGTCTATGTAATACAAGAAATACGTTAGGCAAAGTAATACATGCAATTTCTCAATGACTGTAAGGCCATGCCCAAGCCTACTCCTGAGCCTGGGAAATGAGACATCCAAGTCATCTGAGATGCTCTGAAGATGAGACACTTTGCCCTGTACTCACCCGTGCGGTGAAGTCCACGGCAGCCGCTCGGTTTAACAGCAACGTGGCCACATTGATATTCCCGTAGTGAGCAGCTATGTGGAGCGGGGTGAAGCCACTCTGCGAAGAAAACACAGGGAGTGGTCAGTTGATTCCTTCCAGCTTCTCTTAAGTGCAGATAAAAAAAGAGGGAGCAAAATAAGTCGGGGTCCACATTTCATTCTGCACTAGGCCTTCAGTCAGGGTCAGTGGCTCATAGGGTTTCTAAGGAAACCCAAACTCACCAGCAGAGGGAGAGCCAGGGAAAACCCAGGGATAGAGACTGATCAGTTTAAAAAGTTCACTAACAGACCTGTGGCAAGCCAACATCTCAAACACCCTCTTAGATCACAGCGGTGTGGCTTCATTCCTGATACTGTTTAAGGCAGGTGAGAGACTGGCCATGGAATCATGAAACAAATTCAGTTAACTTTATACAACATAAATCCAGGCTAACCAACTGCAAATCTCAGTCTTAAGGACTAAAGCAACTTGGGGGTGGGCAGAGGTATTAGACCACTAAGGTGATTCCTAAACTAAGGGAGACCATGTTCTACAGAGAATGGAGACGTGTATCTATTCATTAGGAAGGACCTACTCAGCAACACAATTTTATGGGTGCTTTTCTTACCATGGTCATTTTACTTCCTCCAAAAATGCCAGACATGCAACGACTCATTTATCTCCCCACCCCCAACTCGTAACCTTAGAAGAAGTGATGCGTGTCTAATTTGTTAGCAAGCTTCTTAGCCATGCTAGCCATCACTGCCTCTCATGGAAGGAAGGTGGGTGAGATTGCACCATTCTGAGTAACTCTTCTGTTGCTGACACCATGGAGGGTAAGTGTCATGCAGAGAACCCTAAAGACCAAGTCCCGGAGGAGTGGAGCGACAGGGGTGTCTGCAGCTTCAGGTACCACCGATAAGCATCCGAAGTATCGGAGGGCTTCATCTCTATTACAATACTCATAGGGTATTTCGAAGATTCCTAAATCTTCCTTCCCAATGTCGAGTTTAGCTGCAGAAAGCCCTGGCAGTTAACCCGCTGTCTGCTCTGGCACATGCTCCTTCAGGGGGTAGGGGTGGGTGAAGCAGGAATCTAGCCTACAGGAGGCGATGCAGAGAAGGAGGGAGGAGGGGATGAGGCAGCAAACCTAGGAAATGGAAAGCGATGAAGCCGATCCCGATTATAGAAATACGGACAGAGACATATATATATACCTCGGTTGCTCTATTCACCACCATCTAGGTTAACACATTGGGAGGCAAAGAGGAGGAAAAAATGAACGGTTAGTTCACTCGGTGACGTGGACTGCGGAAAGCTCATGGCAGCTACGGGATGGAGATGGAAGCTAAGATGGACGGGGATGGGGTGCAGGGAGAAAGCTAGACCCGACAAAGAACGACCACACAGAGACCTCATCCACGGCCCTGTGTGCCCCATACAGACTTCCAAGCAAGACAATAGGAGTCTTCCGCTGTGGCTCTTTCCCTGCCGCATGCTTCCCACAGCTCAACGGTGCTGGCTGTGCAGCCTAGGCCTGGAGAGGTCAACCCTTCACGCTTGCACACTCTCTCGCTAGCGCTTTGTAACTTCGCCCTGACATTTGAGCTGCGCTGGCCAACACCTTCCTTTGTGATATGGAAAGGGAAAAAAAAACCATAAATGCATGGAAATCCTTTCCTTTGGAGGTGGCCTCCCTTTGAGCATGCATAAGGCGGCATGGACGGCAATTCTCCGGCTTCTCGGGTGGAGGCAGGGAGTGAGTGCATTGGCTAATGTAGGCAACACCTTCTCATTCTTTTTAGTGAAACTATATTTGTTTGGCACGAGCTTGCCACCAGGGAGACCGCATGATCCCGAAGGCTGCCTGCCTGACTCAGGATGAGCGTGGAAGGCCGGAGTGGCCGCGCCCTACCTTCGACTCCACGTCCGCATTGTTGTCGTTCTGCAGGAGCAGAGCGGCTGCTTTTGTGTCGTCTTTGCGGGCCGCGATGTGGAGGGCTGGGAGACGCACCTTCCCCTTCGTGTCGTTTTCGAGCAGGAGTGACACAACCTGGTCATGGCCTTGCTGCAGAGCCACAGCCAACGGCGTGAAGCCATCCTGTGAACAGAAGAACCCGTCAAGACTGGCCATGTGGGTACTTGCATCTGATTCCGTTATCAGATCATGAGGCAGCGAATGGAGGGAACTAGGGATCAGTTTTGGTTTCGGATTTTTGACGCTAATAACAGATTTAAGAGCACATAAGCATGTACAAATTAGTTATATACTCCTATAATTAATTATATATGTACATATATTCAAATTTAAAAGAAGCAAGCAATTTCTACTGTTTATGAATTTTTCTTCTAAATGGCTACTAATTATACACTAATTGGAAAAAAATTAAAAATATGTGAAGGTGCTACATAACAAAATATTATCCAAATATCAGTACACATTAAACAATCTTCATTAAACCATATTGTTAAGTGAAAACTAGACAAAATTTTCAAGGGGGATTTTACATGAGTGGAAACTTTCTTTTTTCTTTCAAGACAGGGTTTCTCTGTAGCTTTGAAGCCTGTCCTAGAACTAGCTCTTGTAGACCAGGCTGGCCTCAAACTCACAGAGATCCGCCTGCCTCTGCCTCCTCAGTGCTGGGATTAAAGGCGTGCGCCACCACTGCCCAGCAAAAACTTTTTCCTTGATACTTTAAGGTGGGGTTAAATCTTCATTACGACCTAGCTTAGGTCCAAGCAGCAGCATGAATGGCATTATGGTCGTTACCACTTCAAGAAAGGCCCACATAATAGGCTTTTGGCTTCCCTAACCGGTGAGGGGAAATGACCCAGCAATCATGCCGAGTCTGACTTCTAACAGTGTGTATTTGCAGGGACAATGCTACATTGTGATTTAGGGACACGGACATACCCATTTCAAATGTCGACTATTTTTATGGTGAGAACATGAGGAATTTACTCTTCCCGCAGTTCTGCTCCATACAACGAGCTACGACTGACAACGATCACCACGCTATGCCACGTGAGCCTTCATCCTGGGTGTGACGCTCTGACCCTTTGCGCGACACTTCCCAGGGGTCCCCACCGCGGAGCTGAGGGGGCCTCTGCTTGCAGGAGTTCAGTGCAATGGAATTTCAGGATGCACCCGGGTGTATATGTGCATTCTACATCGTGTGTCTGCCCTGCATTGTTCCCTGGGATGGAACAAAGAGGAGGCAGCTATAGACTCCACAAAGCTTTATTAAATCATGTCGGGTGTAGTCCTGCTGCTTAGAGAATGAGTAATATGAGACCAAACACCCCAAGGCTGGAGCACACGGCACTTCTATCATGGTTTCCTTTCTATATACCCAAAGAAACATGAAAGATTATTTTTACTACTGAGCAGACAGGCAAGTTTCTCATCAGTTTTTTTTTTTTACTGTGGTCATGATTACTTCTGTCCTTCTCTGGTACAAATAGTTCAATAAAGCATCAGCGAGGCCGAGGAGGAGACTCTGCACTTGAATGCTAATGGCTTGTTTGGTTTTGCAAAGACGTTGCTTTCATCATTCACTCCTTTGCTGGAAGATTGATAAATGCCTCTCGCATTGCCAGCCTGAATACAGATCACCACATCCATATTCAAGGGTGTGCAAAATATGGGACGAAGCCTGTAAGTTCTGCCCGGTTTGTTCCTGTATGGATCCCGTCCACCAGTTTCCCTGCTGTCTGTGGGACTGTGTGGGAATTCCTGCTATGACATCTCCCTTCCTGAGATGATCTCTCTCCCCTCTCCATGTTCAAATCTCATCTCTGCTCCCTTCTACGGGATCCAGCTAGCTGTTTCTCTCAACTTTACTATCCGAGAAAATAAGAAAGAAAGGACACTCCTGTCATTTGTAGTGAGACAGCAAGCAGGACAGAAGCAAGATGCCAGCAAGACGGAAGCACCGCTTCACCTTTATGCACACGGAGCATAGAATATAACCTAATATATTTCATAAAGATTACATCTTATATACATGAGTGCCAATGCAAGATTCATTGTCGCAAAGATAAACATCCAAGTGCACTCATCTATAAAAAGGTATGATGAATGAACCAATATTATTTCTAGAGAAAATTGAGACTATTTTCATTTCGTTATATTTTGTGATTGAAATGGTACAGGTGAATTAAACTTGAGGCCCAGTGCGTGCCAAGCAAACACTCTGCCACTGAGTTCTCTATCTAAGGCCACTGTGCATTTTCTGAAGATGAGAAGGACAATGAAAGCTGTGTAAAGAATCAGCTTTGCACTTCACTGAAAGATCTTGAGGCAGCAGGGTAAGAGTAGAATTGATAGCCTGGGTCTGTTCGGAGTTATAATAAACAGCTCCATCTTCACTGGTACCCACTGTAAACTGCCAAGCCCACGCCTCAGAAGTACTTAGCACTGGAAAACGTATAGCAGATAATCTGATTAGAACCAACAAGCACCTGCTCCTAGCCTAAGCCAATTAAGGATCCATTGATCCCCTGCCCCCAACATAGCAGTTTGGGTTTTGGTTTATTCTTAAGAGAAGTCGAGTCAGAAAGGAAATGGGGCTACATTTCGTGAGAGTGCCTGGTGGGTACCGGCCACAGCATCACTGTCACGGGGCAGGTGTGATGCACATCGGGGGTTAATGATGGCTTGTGGTGACAATAGGCAAATTTAGCTTCATGCTTCAGAGTGATAGAACACAAAAGGGAGACCCAACTGCAAAAGATACCATTTGCAGAGCATAGACATGAGAACAAGGTTTACAAGTTCAACCCCGAGTTCTTGATGCAAGGGTGCCCTGTTTGTTAAAAAGCAACCAGCGAAAGACATGTAACCCTGGGCAGAGCTCAGCAGTAGAATGTGTGCTTGGCGTGGAGTTGAGCCATTGAGTTCCATCCTTAGCAACATCAATAAGAGAGAAGAGAAAAAGAAATTTGGCAGATCTAAAAATCTGCAAGTTAACATATTCTTCAACTGCCCTCCCTACCTAGAGCTGTTTTTTTTTTTCTTTTCAGGAAGGCATAATTTCAACATCTGGATGAGGATAGAGTCAGCGCCTTTGCCCTTCCTTCCCGTGCCGTTGAAGAGCCACACCTGAGCGGTGGCTTTGCCGTGAGCTGGACAGACTATCTATTAGAATTCATTGTTGATTTAAAGATGAAGAACTTGCAAACATCAGTCCTCTGCTATTTGCAACAGACTTTGAGTGACAGGCTTAAGCAGGGGTGACACTGCTCACAGACAGGTCAAAACCCTACATTTCTTAAGAGGGCACCAAAGGCTTAAATCACTTTTTATTTTGTAAGTAATTTTTCTATTCAGGAATGAAGGAGATATTCCCCTCCCCCCCACACAAACACCACTGTTATTTGGTAGTTAAATGTGTACAATAGTTTTATTTGGAAGTATGATTAAATCTAATTAGTTTACTTTAGAAATATATATGTATATATACATATATATATATAATGTCAAACCATTATAATTAGACTCACACTAATTTGAGAGGAAAAGCACATTTACAGTTAATATTCACTGAAATGATATTTCAAAACAATGGTTGCCTTGAAGGCAAGATTTTTAAGAGGCAAAAATGATTATTACTAAAATATGCTAAAAATTAAAATGATAGCTTAATTATAGGGTAGACCAGGCACTTGAGCAGATAAAGAATATCTGTGCAATGAGAGAATTCTCAGAGATTAAAAATAGTTCCTAGAGCATCTTGTTAAAGAGTCACCATGCTAAGTACACCACAGTCATTGAAATCCTAGTGAGAAAATTCTTCACTCTAGGTTTACAAAAAGTCTTTTGAACACATGAACTCAAGAAGAACGGTGAGTGTCTCACCTCTGTGGCCAAGCTCTGGCTGGCACCATTGTCCAGAAGAAACCTGACAACTTCCAGGTGGTTCTCCTGGGCCGCCATATACAACGGCGTGAACCCATTCTGCAAAAGACAAAACAAGAGTCACGTGGGCTGCTATGCCAAGTTGGTACTGAACATGTACTTTCCGAGCAGTGCTCACACGAAATGACTTCTTTCCATTTAAATAAAGGACTTAAATGTAAACAAAGGATTTCACAATAATCCTTTATTAGGAACATTCATCGTCATTAGAGAACTGAGCGCTGCGGCCTATCATGATTTAAGTGCAGTTCACAATCATAACCACAGCTAGGACTGCTGACCACACACACAAGTGTGCAGTTAGTATTCACAGTCGGTAGTCTTAAGGAAACCTACACAATTGATGTACTGAGGGTAAACACACATACTCATTCATCGTTAATCATGCATGAGATATTGCCGTGAATAAAATATTTTACTATGAAGAAATAATCGCTTGGCTGTCACGTTTCCCAAACACCAATCACAATTTCAAATAAAGATGTACAATTTTCTCATAAAAGTAGGCATTTCAAAGAGTTCCAGCTCGGGAAGGAAATTATTTTCACCTCAGATTACTTCAAATATATGACAGATGTGATTACGCAGGTCTAAGAAAGGAAGGCCCGCATGCAAAACGGGATGGCTGAGTATAACTGCTTCCTATCACAACTACTACCTTTATTATAGGTAAGGTCTCATGTACCCCAGGTTGGCCTAGACTCTACTACAGAGCTGAGGCTAGCCTTAAACTACTGATCCTCTACCTCTTGAGTGTTGGGGTCATGGATGTGTAATCCCACAATCCCTGGCTCCGTCTGTTGTAGAGGGCTTATCTTTCTATCACTAAGAGACATTGGTCTTTTCCAAAAGTCATATTCCTGTTGACTCTTTGGTTCCTAAAAGTTCTTGTTGATTGACGCTTAATTTTCATTTCATCAAACTCATCCTTATAAAATGGACAGGGCAGTGGGGTGTGTGTACTCATGGAACTGGGACAATAGACTGGCCAGGCAAGAACCACTCACTGCCAGCTGCAGCCCCACCAACCCATGTCACTTCCTCACCCTGCACCTTTGCTACCAATTTTCAGCATCTGCCTTTGTTCTGTAACCTTAGCGACCACACATCTGCTTCTTTAACTGTTTCTTTTGGACATTTCATAGAAATGAGATCACACAGTGTGTAGTCCTGAAGGGTCTTATAATCTTTCTGGTATCCATGCTGATCAAACGTCTTTTTTGTTTTTGTTTGTTTGTGTGTGTGTGTGTGTGTGTGTGCGCGCGTGCACCTCCCTCCATCACAAGAATGTTTCAGTTTCAATACCAAATGCCCCTTGAAGGACTGTGGTTGAAGACTTGGTTTCAATTTAAATATTCAGAGAGCTTTGGGCAGTGATTGGATTGTGAGAGCTCTAACGTAATCAATGGATGAATCCAGTACAGATCTGTATTAGAAGGCATTCTAGGGAGCTGCTGGGAAGTGTGGGGGCGGGGTCTAGTGGGAGGAAGCAGATCTCTTTATGGTTATATTTATTTTTAGCTCTTTCTAATCTCCTTCTGTTTTAAGGCTACCTGGAGGTGCGCAGCTGGGCTCAGTCACACGTTGTCTTTCATGAGGCTTTGCCTAGTCTTAGGGTCCTTAAACAATACCCAAGCAACCCTGAGCCCAAGAAAACTTTGCTTTTCTCACACATGATGTCATGGCAATGAATACTATCCTCCTCAACGTACATTTTGATTTTAAAGTGAGCATTTGGGATATGCATTTTAGTTTGCTTTAGCATGGTCAATAATACCCACTTCCATGCCTCCCCCTCCCCATAATGTCTTGGTGGATTGCTCTGCCCTGCTAGACAGGAAGGACTTGTCTTGGGCTGGACAATGAGACAGACATGCCTGCCCCTTTCTGATGATGGCGTAGATGCTGGGACAAGCTGCCTTCGTTTGGCTTTTAGTCTTTTCTCCTGAGTCACATTCTCCAAGTCCTTATCCCCAACCTCAAGGGATGGCATCAAAGAGCTCTCTCACTCTGGTTCTGGCTAGATTCTCCTCCCCTCTACTATCTATTTTCTAGAATTTTCCAACTCTTTTGTAGCTGCTGTGCTCAGTGACTCCAATCCAAAATCAATAAACTCCTTAGAAATTGCTTTTGTTGAAGTTCACTGTTGCTCCTTTAACTCAAACAGCTCCAATTAATATGCAAATCATCTATTAATAAAGAATCTACAAGTATCTTTTGAAGACACCGACTGGAAATCTTGTCATTAGGCTCTAGCCCAGAGGCATAAGGCACCTCCCATAATTCAGTGTCCCCAAGGGGGTAGCCTATAGCTAGCTATCACTTGTTGGTGAAAGGACACTTGGACTCAAGATGACCAGATTTGAGAGAGATGCTCCTCCTCCATTTTCATATTCATTTCAAAGCATAGGAAATTTTCAAAACAAAGCTGGTAAAAAAGGGAACACGCTGGAGCTGAATTTACATTTTCTTCTCTATGGCAACAATAGATCTGAGTCCCTAGGGGAAGGGCTGCTTAAGATGCAGCCAGTGTGCTATTTAAAGTCTGATTTTATCTACTATCTCCAATACCTTCTGCTCTCAAGGTTTACACAGGGGCTATTATATGCATGCACATCTGCAGACTAATCATTTTGCAGAGAGCGCGGAGGCATGCTCCATCACACCCAACCTGGCAGAGTGAAAGGAAGAAACAAAAAAGCAAAACACAAACCCCATGACAGAGGGACATCTCTTTCACTGATGGGAACCCCTGACACATTCTTCATCAGAGCCAACTGCTGTACCCTAAAAAGTATTCTGCTGAATCCTCTAGGACACTAAAGTCTATGAAAGTCAGATTAAAGGTTGGAAGTCAGAGGGCATCTTAGCTCATTCACCTATATGTCTGACTGTGAGACTCTGGCTCCTCTAACACAGGGGGCATCTGCGTATGGGGTAAACCCTCAAGGGCACACAAGAACACGTTTGACTTAAGATAGTTTGCCTTTGTTAACACTAGCTTTAAAGAATCTTGTTTATTCAAAATATATCCATAGCCAAAATAATGCCAGAAACTGCCCCTGCCTAAAGAGTCATAGTCAGCTATGCCTCTGGATGCAGCCATGGAAGAAAGACAAGAGGATAGTCTTGTCTAAGCATTGTGCTAAGCAGCTTCACTGCCTTCAGTGGTTAACACTGTCTTACCGTTATACTGTGTTCCATAATTACAGTTCAGTTAGCTGATGGGGCGTGTGTAGTTAGGCAAGTTCAGTTAACCAGCTTGCTCTAGGGATTAGATGCCACCCTCCTGGGTGCTGGCATTCCAGGCAAGCTGTCATGCCCACCTAGCTTTTATGTGCATGCTAAGTATCCAGACTCTTTCCTGCTGAGCCAGCTCCCTAGTCTAGTTTCTTTCCTATGGTAGAGCAACGAGGTTACAGGAATGCAGAGTCACTCAAAGGAGAGTTAAATAATTAAGACATGAGATCAAGGCAATGACCAAAACTCGCTTAAAGTAAAAACCCTAGACTTAATTATAGTACCCAAATGCACAGCAACAGAATTCTAGGGCCAGGCTATGTCATTTTTATTGAGATAAAGATGACTGTTGTTGTTGTTGTTGTTATTATTATTATTATTATTATTATTATTATTATTATTATTATTATTTGTGTGTGTGTGAGTATAAAGGTCGGAGGACAACTTGCAAGAGTCAAGTTCTCTCCTTCCACCATGAGGGCCCTGGGGTTTGAACCGAGATTATCATCCTCAGTAGCAGGTTCCTTTATCACTGAATCACCTCACCGGTGCTTCTTAGCTATTTCTTACATTTTAAGAAACAGTTTGTAGCTGAAATTTCACTTAGAGACCAGACCCACCACCCTACCTTTCTCCCTCCTCAACCTAGAAATTGTGACCTGCCCCAGCCTCCCAAGTGCTGAGACTAAAGGTAAATGCCTGCACACATGACCTGTCTTTCTTGAATGTGAACATCTCCATGTTTGATATGTTAGTGCATAAATAAAATCTCCATTTAAAGAAACATTTATTTTTAAGACGGTTTTATGTAGCCCAGGCTGCCTTGTGTTTACTCTGTAGTCAGAGATGATCGTGAACATCTGACCCTTCTGCTTCCATTTCCTAAATCATGATCAGAAAACCATGAACCACATGCAGTTTATGTGGTGCTGAGATTGAACACCAGGCTTCATGTATGCTAAGCAAATGCTCTACCCACCGAGCTACAGCATCAGCTTGAATTTAATCTTCTTTTACTGCACTGTTGCCTTTTGGTCTTTGTAAAGTTCCCACTCAAGAGTTACTATGGGGAATTGTCACACAAACTTCTTCTGGCTCTTCAGACTTCAGCAAGGGCACCCCACTGCCCTTTCTAGCTACAGCCTGGTGTAGTCAGGAGGCAAATGGGGCCAGGTTGTCTGATGGAGGAGGAAGAACCATGCAGCGCACTGCATGATGGGAATCCCCGAGCACAGCTGCGAGGAGAGGGAACTCACAGGCTGCTGCATTCTAGCCATTGGCCTCATCAGGGTGGAACGTGTATAAATTCAAATTGAACAAAATTCAGGCTTCATCTCAAGCGCAGTTCTCAAACTTACAGCATAGGGGATTTATAGCTATGGCTGCCCTTGGACATTATCAGGCATGTGTGTAAGATCCGAAGGAGATGCTCTAAATGGAAATGGATTAAAAACTTTCCTCACCATCTCATAGCTCATTGCTCACCACTAGTTCTTTCTCAGCAGACAAAATTATAGCAATATTTTTTGGGGGGGTGGGGAGGAAATCAGTTTAAAAGTTTAATGTTGACTCTTTTATATAGATTTTTATTGAGCTCTGCCCCCCCCTTCCTGCCTCTTCCCTCCCCTTTAACCCTCTCTCATGGTCCCCATGCTCCCAATTTACTCAGGAGATCTTGTCTTTTTCTACTACCCATGTAGATTAGATCTATGTATGTCTTTCTTAGTGTCTGCATTGTTGTCTAGGTTCTCTGGGATTGTGATTTGTAGGCTGGTTTTCTTTGCTCTACCACTTATGACTGAGTACATGTGATAATTGTCTTTCTGGGTCTGGGTTTCCTCACTCAAAATAATGTTTTCTAGATCCATCCATTTGCCAGCAAAATTCCTGCTGTGTAGTACTCCCCATTCTTACAGGTGCAAGATGGAATCTCAGAGTTGTTTTGATTTGCTGCAGACTGTTGAGATGGCTCAGGAGGTAAGAGAGTTTGTTGTCAAGCTTGAAGACTTGATCCCTGGGACTCGCTTGGTGGGAGGGAAGAACTGACTTTGCAAGTTGTCCTCTGACTTCCCTGTGTGCCCTAGTTCACACATGCCCCCTCCCCACACATAAGTAAATGTAGCTAAAACATTTTAAAGCACGGTGGTTGTCTTTGGTAGTTGACCTGTTAGAACCTGAAAGAGTATTGGCCAAATTTTAATTTTAGATCATTACTTTCTGGAAAAGCAATACCATTCAAAGTGAACTCTCACAATGCAACAAAAAGTTTAAGCCCAGGGAACAAAAAAGAAAGGAGAACAAATGACCAAGGGACCCTGCAGCTGGGAACTAACTGCTTCCCTGACACTCATAGTTGCTAGGGCTGATCTCACAGGGATTCTGTAAATCATTGTAATTCTGCAGACAGCCCAAGTAGAAGAGATTCATCAGACAAAGATATCCAAAGGCAATGAAACCATGCATGTTTTAACACGGAGTAACTATAAGAAACTATTAAAGGCCACAGAGTAACTATAAAAAAGAATTGTGCTTGGGGTCCTTGTGAAGACTCGGTGACTAAAGTCAAGGGCTTCCAAGTTCCATCCTCAGGACCCACATGGCAGGAGGAAAAATGTTGTCCTCTGACCTCCACCAGAGGGCAAACACACGTAGGCACACAGACATTATACATAAGTGTAATAAATTTGCTTTTTAAAGTGTGTTGAGACTTTCTCTCAAAGGCCAAAGACAAACTTGTAAAAGTAAGCTCACATGTATTGTCTGATGGACGGTAACAATAATCGTGAAGCGTTTTCAGAGTGCAAAAAGACTAAATGAAAGGCTGGCGTCAGAGGTCGTTGGCAGAATAGTTGCCTGGCATGCACAGGGTTTAATTCCAAAAGACTAAATGAAATGTGATTTTGTGGATAAAAAGTAACCAAGCTTAACTAACTTTTCCAATAAAATGGTGGTACCTATGTTTCCCTCACTGCTTTCTATTTAACATAGCATGAACCTCGCAAGAAACACAACCTCAAAATCTCACCTTTTTCACTTAATCGTTTGATTTTCAGATTATTCTCACATCAAGCACCCAACAGGAATTCAGTCTTCCCACGTTTCCGATCCCCAGGCTGCTGGGAAATCCCATCCTCACAGTAAGAACCACAGGCTCCATAGTCCCCTAATATCACCTTTCCCAACTTCACTAGATTCCTGGATTATGTGCAAATTGTAGGTTTCATCTGTGACCAATATGTTCAATGCCCTTCACCCTGGTGGCGCCACTGACAAGTGACAGATGCAACTAGGAACAGGGCGAAGGAGGCGAAGTCCTGGGTGGGCGCTGCTGTCTCATGAGATGTTTGCTTGCTACACAGCCTCTGATGGAAGCTGTGCACGCATGCCAATGATTGGATTATGAGTACTCGTGATTTTAAAGCAGCTAGTTCTCTTAGACGCAAAGACTAAGGTGAAGATGCTAGGCAGCTGCGGGTACTCTTTTGAGGACGTATATGAGTGTCTACAGAAATAATAGTGGGCCTTACATTCAGCACAAATAGTTTGAACATTTTAAAGATTGGAGACTTTTAAAGTTTCTGGGATCAATCTATCTATCTATCTATCTATCTATCTATCTATCTATTTACTTTTTTCAGTTAGCAATAATGCTGCCTTCATTAGCATAGAGGGATTAAGCAGTTTTCTTCCAGTGTCCAACTAATAAAGCACTATGCATTCTGAAAATTCTAAAGTTTTTTTCTTTCTTATATGTTTCTTCATTTCCCTGTAAACTAGCAACACCGAGACTATTAGTGTTGGACGTGGGCTAGACAGCATCATAAAACAGTGTAAAAGACCCCATTTCAAACATCTGCTGAACATTTTGTGTGTGACTGTCAGCCACAGCTATTCATAGGTGGATCTGTCAATCATGGACCACAGTTGAAAATTCTACCTCTTACAACACCAATTCTAAATAAGGATCCATCTAAGTTTGATGAACTTTATAACTACTTCAAAAAATGCGCTTGCAAATGCTGTGCACTTAGCTGAGGTACAACTCAAGCAAATGCTTGGTCTAGATGTCTCATTGGTAAACAAGGGCCAAAGTCCTTTACAATACAGTTGCAGGCTTACCTGAGATTGTGCATTGACGTTCGCTCCATTCGTAACCAAGACCTTGACCACCTCCGCTTGCCCAGCCAAAGATGCGATGTGTAAGGCCGTGTTTCCTTTCTGTGAAGGAGAGGCAAGATTCATGAGCTCAAGAGGCATATGCTCGACGCCTCTGGGATGCACAGATAACGGGGCTAATAAACAGCCCATGAGAACGATCCCTTTGATCTTACTGAGGGTTGACCCTTTATAGAACTAGGCAGGTGACACCGAAAGCCCCGAGCCCATGATACTGACCTTTGTGGCCGCATCAACGTTGGCTTCCCTCTGTAGCAGCTCAGAGACCACTTCCACATGGCCTTCTTTGGAAGCAAGATGGAGTGCGTTCAACCCATTCTGATGAAAAGCGAGGGAAAGGGAACTGAGAATGAGTGCTCAACAGCCCACAGCCTGCCACATGTATTCAGGTAACCCCCCATAATTGTCCCCCATCGGTGAGAATGTGGAGCGGGATTCAAATGTGAAGACTAGGGAGGTGGCCGTTATTTACTAAGTAATAGGATCCACTCGTCACTCTAGCCCTGCCTCTCCTGGCATGCCTTGGACAAGGACCGATGATAGTCTAACACTGGGCGGGCAAAACTTACCATCGATGAAACTGAGCTCCTGACAGATGGAGAAGACCCTTGCCAACATTTCACAGACGCTTTAGGGAATCGGAGAGTTTTAACGAAAATGCCAACCAATAAGAATAACCATAGCTGACCTGGTTGCAGATGTTGATGTCCACTCCATTTTTGATGTAGTCGAGGGCCTTTTCCAAGTGTCCCGCTCGAGCTGCTCTCAAGTAACTCGCGTTGGCATCAGACTGAGGAGAAAGAAGGAAAAGCCTTGTGGTGACCAAGGTAACTGATGCATCTGTGGGCCCGCACAGCTGGGGGAAAGCCACGGGACTGTCTTATTGCTGGCACTGAAACACTAAATATTTTTTAACAAGTGGAGAGAAATAGGGCAAACTCTTGGCCCAGAGTTTGCTACACTTGCAGAGGATTAAGGTTCGATTCCCAGCACCCACACAGTGGCTCACACCTTATTTATCTCTTGTTTCAGGGAATCCAGTGCCTTCTTTGGCCTCTGTGGGCACCAGGCACACACACTGAACACATACTGACATGCAGGCAAACATTCACACATAGGTTAATAAAAAAGTTCCAAGCACACAGCTTTATTCCTTTTGAGAGATCATACCATATTATCAACTGAGAGATAATTTCTCATGAACTGTGACCACCTTAAATCAATACACAGTCTCCAAGGCAAATCCTACAGTGTCTCAGGCACCATATTAGGAACACCCAGCTGCTCCCTACCAGAAGTTCACAACTGATGCCATCTTCCTGTGTTTATCACGGCTGACTTTTCACCCGATGGCTTCCCAAAGCAAAGGGAACATTTTCTTTTTCTGCACAGCTTCGTGGGTTGCTAATGTCCCACCACGCTTATATGAGCCTATCCTGCAGTAAGAGCATGTTTTTCTACATGAAAAGCATGCAACAAAGACACGTTGAATTTACAGGCAGTGAATTTTCTCCATGGTTTTAAGCTAGTTGAGGCCACCGCCTGAAGAACAGCGTATGACGTCTAAACAACACAACATGAGACAGCCAGTTCACTCTCTGAAGGCTATTCAACCCTACCACCAACAAAGGCAGTGAAAGAGGACAATCTGATGGTGGACAGAAACCACAGCAGAGACAGGCCTGCAGAATCTGGGAAGGAGTCTGTTAGGCGCATCTCAACTCAGAGCAGGATTTCCTGAAACGGGATCCAGAAACATCTCTCTACCAATTAGAAACACAATCATGCAGGGAAAGGCTTCTAAGAGAAGTATGCCTTCTAACCATGGAGTGACCACCTTTTCCAAAGTCCCTTTGGATGCCTCTCACTCTTCGAAGCTCAGTGAAGACACCTGAAGCTCCTAACACAACCATTCCACCTAATGTTGGGCACTTATCACACAAAAATATAGGTTTTAAAACACCTAGCCTTCTCCCACACAGACTCATAAGCCTTCAGAACAAGCAAGGGTAGATTAGGAAGCCTGTGTCTCGGAAGTCACCAAGCTGGCAGTCTTTGAGGGGCACCCATTGGGCCTGACACTGTAGCCAACATGAAGGAAGTTCTGGTCTTCCAAAGGGTCTTTGTTTCTGTGGTGTAAATAAGGGAGCACTGACTTGCTAGGGACCTCCCAGGAGAAGGGACTGCCCCCAGGTCCCTGTCACCCTCCCCTGCACCCGAGTAAGCCTCACTCTGGGGGATACCCTTTACGCCTCACTACTATTAGCATTTTGACGTGGGTGGCCCTTCTGTGGGGCCTACCCTGCACATTGTCCAACGCACAGCACCTTTCGTGCTCTGTGCCACTCAACGCCCCTTTGTGACAACTAGACACGTCCTCAGAATTGCCATCTGTCTGGAGGGCTAACCCTCCTCAGAAAACAAATAAAACGCTTTCCTTCAAGGCTGTAAGTTTAAGGAGGCACCAGTCTCGGGCCTGCTTGGGTTGTCATATGCCCTGACATAGTGCAAGGAAGAGACCCTGTGTGTGACAGTCATTTTTTCTATTTCCCTTTATCTAGGAGCAACCTTGACATATGGCAGGTGCCTGTGAAGGTTTTGTGACCAAGTTGATACATAAGCACATTAGACAAAAATAAATAATAATCAAATTTACTTTTAGAACAATAGAAGAGGCCTCCATGGCAGTCATAGCTGCAGCCACACAATTTTGCTTGAGAATCTGCTCTGACCCCAAGACGGATGCCAGAGATCAAACACCGTGTGTCAGAGCCAGGGCACCCGGAGAACGCTTAGTACTATCAGGGGGCTGGAGTCTTCAATGACAGCTGGAAGTTATAAACTAATTTTCTTCTTTTAACTCTCACACACATGATTGACCATGCCCACCCCAAGACATACGGATCTTTCCTGTTTATTCCGTATAAACGTAGGCTCAGTTAGGAATCAAGAATACTTAAAGAGATGTGGGGCCTCTCCAGGTATACAAGGGTGGGCTTATTTAATTATTCTGTGCTTGCCTTTATTTTTAAATAACACTAAAGACAATTACTTTCACGGCGTCTACTTGATACTAGTTATTCTATTGCTAAAATAAAATCAGATTTTTGCATTAAGTATGTAAGCCATTTAACTCAGGGTAGATAACGAGAAGGTGGCGGTAGAGAGACGATGTGTATGTTAGCGTTCCAATCAGTCATTTCCCAGGAGTGCAAGGAAAAGCTGCAGTGTGTAGGGAGGCCTTCTACTGAGGGAAGGGGGGTTTTCTACGTCCAGACCGAGCCAGCTGTGCAAGGAGGGCTCACTGTGCAGCAGCATCTGACCCTAGGGCTTGCCTGACGGTGTGCGGGTGCCTCTGCGTGGAAAGGCTGTGCTGCTGTCCTGGGAAGAGAAGAACGCCAGTCTGTCTGCGCATCTCAGCCGCCAGAGGCAGGAACTGGGAGCTGTGCACATGGATTCCCACTCGGGGACCTAAAAACTGCAGCTCAGGAGGCTAAAGGAGCTGTGATGATTCAAGGAAAGGAGCCTCTGAACCGATTCCAGATTTAAAAAAGATCTGGCAATTATGTACGTGACCCATTTTCTTCAAAAAAAAAAAAAAAAGTACTATATAAGTCTCTAAAGCAAAACACACACAACTAGTTTGAACCTAGATTTTTTTTAAACTTTCCGCCATGAAGTATTATTTTTAATATTTATTTATTTATTATGCATACAATATTCTGTCTGTGTGTATGTCTGCAGGCCAGAAGAGGGCACCTGACCTCATTACAGATGGTTGTGAGCCACCATGTGGTTGCTGGGAATTGAACTCAGGACCTCTGGAAGAGCAGGCAATGCTCTTAACCACTGAGCCATCTCTCCAGCCCTGAACCTAGATTTTTTATTTTCATTTTTTATACACCTATCTAAGGCATGATACTAGTCTCGTCAGACTAGTTAAAATATCAACTATTTTCTGTCCTTCAATTACTGCTTGTGGTCAGCTTTTATCGTGGGGTTCCATACTCTTTCAAACTGTGTGTGCTAAATAGGTACAGTGTTTGTGTTTTTTTTGCATATCATGATTTTCTAATATAAAACTTACCTAGCATTTATGTAATATTAGTTGGAAGAAGTCTGTATAGAGCATGTGCCTGTTATGCAAGGGTTCTATGAAATTACTGTACCATTTTATAAGAAGGGACTTGAGTACCCACAGATCTTGGAATAGGTGGGGCTAAGGTATCTTGGAATTAATGCCTTTTAGACACCATGAAAGGAGTGTACATCCATGTATGCCCTAAATCTCCTTACGCATATGGGTTGTACATCTGCATATGTATATGTAATTTGTACTCCATTTTATGTATCTCAGGAGGCGAGGGTATTGTTTTGTATTTAAAAACTCATGATGTTTTGATGACATACTCTATTAGGGCTGGGGAGATAGCTCGATGGGTAAGGGCACTTTGCCACCAAACCAGACAACATGGGTTCAATACCAACTCCCTGCCTGGAGCTGTCCTCTGACTCCCACACGCAAACAGTGTGTGATCCCACCTCAAGTTACCTAGAGACCCTGGCACTAAGTGGTCCCTTGAGGCAGCTTATTTGCCGGCTCAGAACGCCAGGATCAGGAAGGGATGGCAGTTATCTTCCCTGTTCCCAGCTCTTGGTCACACACAACACCATTGCCCCTGTCACAGGAGAGCAACCTGCTCCTGCAGATTTGAACAGAAAATGGTGGGGAGGATGGGTAACAAGAGAGAAAGCCAGAAAACAGGATCAAAGACAGCCCCGTAGAAAAATTATAACTTGGAACAAAGAAAGAGAGTCCCATAGAAAAACTATAACTCAGAACACAGATTTATTTAAGTTCAAGGAGTTTCTCATTTTTTCCCCTTAAAGCCATCTGAAAGCAACTCAGTCCATCCTCCTGCCTCACGTAAGTGTGACTGAGTGTGAGCTGCCACACCACTGCTCATCAGCACAAAGGAGGATCGATCTATCTACCTCCATCTCAGTACCCTTTGCTCCCCTCCTGATATACCTTGTATAAGGCAGTGGAGTCAAATAACTGGCCCTTAACTTGATGCCACAGCCTGATAAACCCATCATGAGCCGACAATATTGTATGTCGGAAATGATGTATGTAATCCACCATACATCCTGGGTTTAGCAGCATGGTCTCCTAGCAACACAGTATCCTAGCAACGCAGTGTCCTGGAGAATACCAGTGGTTTACCCTGGTGATCAAGCGGTTGAGTGGGAGCTGTGGTTCATTGCCATTGTGTTATAAAAGTGCTAGGATGCAAGCAGCTAGCCCAGAAAAAGAGCCCAATTAAAAACTGTAACCTTCATCTCTGCTGGTTGTAGGTAGCCTTTTGTATCCTCATAGACTTGAAAAATGTCATTGCATTTGTTAAGTCTGGGATCCTCTGTCGTACCTACATATTATTGTTTTCTTAACATTAAAAAACTCTTTAGCACTCTATAGTAGGCTTATTATCCCATTTAAATTCTTACCTTCTCAAATAATTAGGCTTATCCTTAACACAGGCTATAGAATATTTTCTTTCTTTCTTTCTTTCTTTCTTTCTTTCTTTCTTTCTTTCTTTCTCCCTCTTTTTGTCTCCTTCCTTCCTTCCTTCCTTCCTTCCTTCCTTCCTTCCTTCCTTCCTTCCTTCCTTCCCCTTCCTCCCTCCCCTCTCTCCCACTTTAAGTTCTTGGACATTCTATCTGAACAATGCCCCTTCACACGTTTTGTTTAAATAGGCATCTAAAGATGGCAGCTGACTATGTTCATGG